GATTAGTTCACGTGCGCCTCGCGCTGCCGCGTCTGCTGAACTGAGGCGCTACAGCAATCTGTCACTTCACATTAAACAGCGCCAAACAGCATTTATTGTTTGAATACTGCAATACAATGGAACGAATTTGAAATCTGAGACTTTGTTTCATATTAAAAGTACCAAAGCACAATGCTTATTGCGATATATTGGATGTGAGGTGCCCTTCAGCGTTCCATCCATTAACTGAACACAGGCTAGACTAATCGATTCTTTGGATTTAAGAATCGATATCGTTCCGTAAAAATGATAATTGATTAATATCGAGATATCGATATTTTTTACCCAGCCCTACTGAATCTAGTGCTGTACTAATGATCGTTGTAAGTTGTGTTCATGCAGTACCTTGTAGTTGTAAGGTTTGTTGGAGAACAGTTCTGGACTCATGTAGTAAGGTGTGCCGATCAGAGTGCTGGCCATGTCGTTCTGACTCTCCAGGACCCGCGCGATGCCCAGATCACCCACTTTGATTATATCGGTCTTGGTCAAGAAGATATTCTGCGTTTTCAGATCTCGATGCAGAATGTGCTTCTCATGTAAATACTAGGGATCAACAAAAATGCAAAAGCTTTATTATTCAGCTAGAAACTCAGAAAGGACAGATGGATGGAAGGATGGTCATTGACTTACCTGGAGGGCCATGGCAATCTGAACAAACCACTCCACAACTTGTCTCTCAGGAAGCAGTTCTCCCTTCTGCTGTTTGAGTCTGCGGTAAAGATCTCCTCCCTCACAGAATCCCATCACGATGTAAAGCTGACAGTCCTCGCCTTCCCATGATTCCCGGTATGTGACGATGTTGGGATGCTTGAGCTGTGAGAGGAGCTGTGCTTCCTGCTCCGCGGCTCGCCGTTCGCGTCTGGAGGATGTTCTCAGGTTCAGCTTCTTGATCACGTACTGCCAAAACCACACGATATATTGTGTTATAACTTTGCACATAAACAAAAGACGAAAATTCTAGTGGAAAATGTCCACATTTAAACAAACAAAAAAAAGATGCTCTAATATTTGTTGTACAAAGAAGGATCATATCAGCAATCATATGTACCAAATCGCATGTCCATTATTTTAATTTTTGTTCAGTATTAACATTTTTTTAAATTTATTTATTCACTTTTTAACATCAAGGCTATTTTCATGGCAATCTCTGAATAAATTATACAAGGTACAATTAACAAAAGGTTGTAAAAGACATTTCAGATGTACACTAGGCAAAAATTCTAAAATACATTCAGGTGATACACTTTTAAATAAACCAGGTAGACACATCTCTGAATAAAACCGTTGTCTATTTACACTAAAAACAGCACAATCCAAAAAAATATGTTTCACAGTCATTTTAGTTTTCAATATTAAAATCAAAAAGGATAAAAATCACTGCATTCTACAGACTCGAGTTGCATAGATAGATCTGTAAAAACTGAAACATTTTTTTAAGAAGAAACCGAAAGAGGCACACTATTTTTTTCTTATTTATTTTAATTTTTTTGTTTCATTATGCAGCACAGCACATACGAAACGAACATTTCAATATCAAGTTTAAAATGTGCGTATTTGTATAAAAGAAAGTGTTTTAGGTGCTGATAACCTTTTCTTTTAAGATTTTCCAAAATTGTAATCACTTCTACAATACAACTAAACGGGCCTTCGTTGTCAGACATCTTTGTTAAATAAATAAATATTTCATGTAATATCTCAATAAGAGGTCATAAAAATGCATGATAATTCCATTTTTTTTATTTAACATTGTAAGAAAAAAGTTTCTCAAAATAATTACAGAGCACGTCACAATGCAGGATGTCAGCTGCCTTTATAGTAATTGATCAAACAAGTCAACAATATCAATAACATTAAAACATACTTTATATGTCTAACAGGTTGATTTGATTCCTGTTTTTCATACACATTTGTATTCGTACATAATCCTTCTGATGTGAAGCGTCCTACAGACTCATAATTTTCCTCTTACATTATAAGTTACTATAAATGTGTTATGTACAAGGAATATTAAACGCATCATAAAGTAATTAAAAATCCCAAAGCTTTTCCTAAAATATGCAAATACACATTTGATAGAAGAGGCTAACTCAGCTGTAATATCAACAACAACAAAGTCTGTTATTAACTAATGCTTAAAAATAAGGCATTAGTTCAGTTTGGCAATTAGTTAAACATATAAATTATGTGAGAAAATTTTTAATTATGACATAGGAGACATTTTTGTTAAAATTTTGATTGTTTGTCAAAAGTTCCATTCTCAAAAATATGACTTAGTGTGTAATAATTTTGACTTTATCTCATAATTATGTATTTATCTCATAAATGACTTTTGTCTCACCATTATGGCTTAGTATGTGACAGTTTTGACTTTATCTCATTATGACCTTTTATCTCGTAATCATTAAATTTTATGTCATAATTATGATTTACCAAAGTAAGATTTTTTTTCTTATGTAGCAGATATGGGTTTCCATAGTATTTGGTGGATTTGTTTAAAAGTTCAGAATTGTCTATAAAGTATGGAATATTTACTTCTAGATTTTGTTATCAAAAGTATTTCTGCTGCCATGTACAGTAACAATTGTTGAATGTCTAATATGGCAAGGTGCTGATCATAATGCTGTCATTTAGTATGATATTAGAAAATCTTTATATTTCATAGTTTTGATGTGTCATTGAAATTAATTTTAGTATTGCAGTTCTAAAAAGTGGCGCTTTTACACCTTACACAAGCTGTTCTGCTTTGATCAGCTCTCCACATAATCACAAGTAACTGCACCAACCACAAAAACTAAAAAATACACAGTGTTTGTTGTATCATGTCAATTAAATTCCATAAAGTACCCCAACATATTCGCGTCACACCTAAAATCTGAATGCCATTGCTTTATTATGGTACATACAAGTAAAAACAAACACTAGCTTTCTATTTTTTCTATTCTATCTACTTGCTTTTCTTTGTGTGTGTGTGTGTATATGTGTGTGTATAATATATGTATGTATGTGTGTATATATATGTATATGTATGTTTCGATGATCCAGTTCAACCGTACTAATAAGCAAAAATTACTCTAGTCTTTTTTTATCGCTGAAGTGTGTTGAAATGTCTTCTTCTGCATTCTACTGTACGGACGTAAATGTACTTTCCCTTCAGCCTGCGGCTTATTCCTTTCACTTCTGCTGTGAAAAGGCTTTTCTATTTGCCAAAAATATAACTTTTTTATTTTAAAAACAAACAAGCTAGCCCAGCCCAGATTTTAAAAGTAACGCAAAAGTAACGTAACGCAGTACTTTCCATAAGAAGTAACTAAGTAGCGTGATTGGTTACTTTTTTTGGAGTAACGCAATATTGTAATGCATTACTTTTAAAAGTAACTTTCCCCAACACTGCTCATATTGGATTCTACTGTACGGACGTAAATGTACTTTCCCTTCAGCCTGAGGCTTATTCATTTCACTTCTGGTGTGAAAAGGCTTTTCTATTTGCCAAAAATATAACTTTTTTATTTTAAAAACAAACAAGCTAGCCCAGCCCAGATTTTAAAAGTAACGCAAAAGTAACGTAACGCAGTACTTTCCATAAGAAGTAACTAAGTAGCGTGATTGGTTACTTTTTTTGGAGTAACGCAATATTGTAATGCATTACTTTTAAAAGTAACTTTCCCCAACACTGTATATATACACACACCTTGCTACGTGTACTGTGTTGGGCTATCCGAGACGTGTTATTTGCACTTATATATTGTTGCTCTTTTGTTAGTCTTGACTGCTTTTATTGTCCTCATTTGTAAGTCACGTTGGATAAAAGCGTCTGCTAAATGACTAAACGTAACTGTAAATATAAACCAGCGTGTTACTGATTAGCAGGAATGCACAGGTCTGTGCACAAACTCAGATGCATGCACCACTCTGTTACCTGTTTACGGTCTGATTTGTGTCTGACCAGATTCACCTCCCCATAGCTCCCCTTCCCCACAACTCTCACGAATAAGTAACTGTCCATGATCCTCCGTCCAAAGATGCTCTCTGTATCACATAGCGAGTGATGCTAAGCCCTTCCGCAGAAGTTAAAATACAAGCAAGCGCGCTATTCTGTGATGTGTCTGTTTCAAACTTGTTTTGGGTGACACAGAGCACAGGAAACAGCCGAGCACGGCTTCAGCGTCACCAGGCAACTGAGCGCTTTAACGCCGCACGCTCCGGATGAATGTGTGCGCAGTTTGACAACAGCGCCCTCTATAGGCGCAGCGGCACGTGACAAGTAAGAAACACGGTTAGTCATTAGAGTCTCAGAGAGACTGCTGTTTTATGTCATAATAATTAACATCCACAAACATTTTCAATCAATATCTAGTATGGAAAGTCTTATAAAGATTAGAGGTGTAGGTTAATAACCAGTATAGCCCAAGTCAAACAATATGTTCACCAGTAGGTGGCGTAATGTTTTTATTCACTGTTTGGGGCACAGGCAAAGACCAATAAAACCATCAGTTAAACAAGCAACAACGTTTTAAAATGTTATGCATTTTTAAACCAGTGCTGTGAAGGAAGTGAACACAGTTTAAAATCTATAAATGCATTTAAACTGACTGAAGTCACATATTGTAACACATTGGATTTCGATATTCCACTTTATACATTATGCCATTGCCAACTGTAACTTTGCAACTACATGAAAATGACAAATACGAGATTAGACATGCATATTTGTGTATGTCATATAGGCGATTCTAATAGCCTGCTGATTTAGTGCTGGATTATTAACAAATGCTCTAATTATTGTCAGTGCTGCAAACAGTTTTTGCTGCTTAATAACAGCAATACATAGATCAATTGAATGCATCTTTGCTGGATATATTTATTCATTCATTCATTCATTCATTCATTCAGTTAGTTCGTTTTTTTTTAAACGTTTGGACGGTGTAATAAACAGTCTGGGGGAAAGTTACTTTTAAAAGTAATCCATTACAATATTGCGATACTCCATAAAAAGTAACGAATTACGTTACGTAGTTACTTGTATGGAAAGTAATGCGTTACGTTACTTTTGCGTTACTTTTAAAATCTGGGCAGGGCTAGCTTGTTTGTTTTTTAAAATAAAAAAGTTCTATTTTTGGCAAATAGAAAAGCCTTTTCACACCAAAAGTGAAATGAATAAGCCTCAGG